AATGGGTAGATTTTTCTTTGTGAATAGCTTGTGATTTAAAGGTAAAAGCAAGTTACTTCTTAATGAATATCAGTAATTAAAATGGCTGTCAGAGGATGTAAAATTCTTATGCTATGTTTTATAGGCACAGGTTACGGGGAGCACGTTGAATGGCAGGAAGGAGAAACTTCAGGCTGAGGAGGGCGATAAAGAAAAATGGGATTTCCTGCAGTTTGCTGAGGCCTGGACTCCAAGTGAAAGTTCTGAAGAGCTCAAGAGTGAAGCTTTGTTCACTCATGTAAGTTTCTGAGACCAATTCAGTTCTTTTCTAATGTCCTGAAACTTTATTGTCTTAAGTAGTAATGGTCAGTAATTTATGCAGTTGAAAAAAAAGATGTCGCCAGGAACTGAGAACCCCTTAGAATCAGAAGAGAATGTTGAGTGAGGCTGCACCACTGACACTTTCCTCCCAACAGCGCCGTATCTCAGTTCTCACTACTCAGCTCTTAGAAAAACAAACTGAATAGACTCCAACCTTCTTAGAAAATAGTATGACCTTGAGAGTCATGAACAGAGCCATCTGTATGACCTTGAGAGTCATGAACAGGACCATCTGTGTGATTTAAGTCATGAAAAGGACCTTCTGTGAGACCTTGAGTGCTGTGAACAGGACCATCTGTATGACCTTGAGAGTTGTGAACAGGACCTTCTGAATGACTTGAGAGCGGTGAAAAGTGTATTTAATTTCCCTCAAGTAGCACAAACCACACCAAAAAAACAACAACAAAAAAAAAATTAGATAATTGACTATATCAAAACCAAAAAAAATTTATTCTGTAAAATAAAACAGAGATAAGTTACAGACTCAGTAAGCGTTTACCAGTGTCCGAAGATATTAAGACTGGAACAAATCAACTCGTAAAACACAGATAAACTAATGGAAAAATAGCCAAAGAATGTGAGCATCAGAGAAGAATTGAATAACTAGGAGTTAAGAAAAAGAAGCTCTGCCTCATGAAAATATGGCATATTGTGAAAGCTCCTTTTCCTCGTAAAATTAGTACGTAATCTGTGACAGAACAGAGTGTATGATGATATGACATTGCTATTTCCAAAACCTCTCAACTAGTGAACTAGGTCAAACTAACACCTTTCTCTTTCATCCAGCACCACAGTAGTGTTCCTCACTTTTCTCAGATTATCTGTACACATAGAAATATTGACATTTTTTTTTATCCACTTGAGAGAACAGTTAAACAGTATCTCATAAAGCTGAGCATGCCATCCAACTGCTTTGTTATTCGAAAATGTGTGTAATAATACATGCATACAGAGCTTTATTGTGTCAGTTCTTAGAATGCCAAAAAATCTTGGAAATAATCAAAATATCTGTCAAGAGGAGAACACATAAATTGACATCATGAGATGCTATCTAACTTGTTAGTCAAATTTGTGTCTTCTAGGT